TTAGGAAGTTCATTTCTAGGCTTCCAGATAAGGGTAAGAAGATCTCTGATTTTGCTGAGAAGCTGAAGCTTGCCATCTTGCAAGAGGAGGAACTAACCAGGACTGCTGAGCTGTTATCTGCTGTCAGGTTGGAGTTTCAGGCAAAACAGGAGAAGATTAATACAAGCAAACAGGAAAACAAGGATACACTGAACTGTGAAGATTCCTTAGACTTTAATGAAAACTCTAATACTAAAGAAGTTTCTGAGATTGCTTCCACAAGGCAGGAGGCAGAATGTATTGAGGAGGCTGCCACAAGTACAGCTTTGGAAAATCAAAGGACTCAGAGGAAAAATGATGAAGTAAAGACTGTTAAAAAAGATCAGAATCATTCTGCCGAAGTTGTTTCCACATCAGCCACGAGCAGCCATCTGAAAAATGATCAGCAGGTCTCTCAGAGTAGTACTGAGAATGGTACAGAAAGTGCAGCTACTTTGGATGACAGCAAAGACACCTTGGTTGATGCCTTTCAAAAAATTACAATTGTAGATGGAGATAAGAGTGAAAAAATATTGGAAAAAGGGCAGAATGTGGCAAAACATAAGGGCAATGTGTTTGGAAGCCAGTATCCCAAGACACCACATTACATTGAAGTTCTGGAGGCTCGAGCCAAGAACCCAGTCATAAAGAAAAGCAAATTTAAAACAAATGCGTAAGTGTTATGGGATAGAAAACCCTTTTGTGAGATACTTGATGTGTATAAAATTGGAAATGGTACAGAATAAGCATGATGGCTTTATTTTCCAGTCATGGTTAAAGAGAGTCTCATGACACGGAGGGTTAATATGTTTCTCTTTAGCATTAAGTGCCACAGCAGAATCTCAGCACTGAGCAGTGGCCTAATTCTACCCATTTGGAACAATTGTCATAACCTTCGTAGAACTTCATAGCTCAAGCTTCAAAACTATGAAACAATTGGCAAAACTCCTGTAGATGAATTCTAGAACGTGTAGAACTTTAATAGCAGGAAGCTTTTTGCTTTTTCTACACTTCTAGGGAAGTTACAGTTCACATTGTCTGTACTGGGAGCAATCTGTACTTCTTGTGACTCCCAAAGCATTGCTACTTCAGCTTGCTAATAAATTGCAATTACCTGGTTTGTTCACTGCCCAGTGTAAATTGTGATACTGTCTCTCTGCAGAGAAACAGTTTTAGTTTTTCTGAGTGCTGCTTTTTTCTTCATTTGTGTATGTTTTCATTGTACTTCATATTTGTTTTCAACTCTTACATGTTAAAAATAAGTTTTGGAACTGAAGTTGTTCAACCTTGTGCTGCAAGTTTGGGTCACAACGTAGGTGCTTTATGTCTTTCAGACTATCAGGAGAGCACAGTGGGTCATCTCTTGGTTCCTCATCGAGTCGGTCCCCTGGGGGACTTGGGTCTCCAATTTCTGATGAAGAAAGGCGACTCAGAGATAAGAAACACTTGGATGATATCACAGCAGCTCGACTGCCACCACTTCACCACTCCCCTGCTAAGCTGTTACCCATAGAGGAGTCCATAGCAATTCAGATACAGCAAAAAGAAGCTTATGAGGTATGAATTTACTGTTTGGTCTGAAAGGTAATTATAGCATCAGGATCACTCGTGAAAAAGAAAAGATAAAGGGATCTTTTGATGATGATGAATTGAGATGGGCGGACTTTGAGGAAAGGCACTTGGTCATGTATTTTTGCTTTTAATGATATAATTGAAGAATGTATTAATGCCTTCTGAAACTGTTATTCCTACATTAGACAAAATCTTTGTGTGTTGATATGCTAACCTTATTACACTTATTCACCTCTGACTAGAAATTAAATGTATACCTTGCATATTAGTCTTTAAAGAGTTTTTTGCCCTTGCATGAATGAAGGCCTAGCAAGTATTTGTTATTCTTATAACATGCAAGTATCTGTGTTTGCCTTTATTTGTGCTGTGTCTGAAGAATCCAAGTTCTGAGGTTCTTCAAATGCTGTTGTAATGGATTTTGACTTTCTAAGTTGTGGCAAGCTAATGTTTAAATTAGACACTATTGTAAAAGTGTTTTTTGCTGCTTATTGTTTTTAAAGCACTTGCTAATTTCATCATCTTTAAGGGAGGCAATTCATTTGGAAAATGGAGACATTCTTTGCTGAGGTTGCTGAAAGACCAGCATTGCTTTTGCTACATGTTTACTGTGCACAGTTGCTCTCTTATGTGAACTGATTTTGTTCTGTAAAAACTGTCATTAGTTTATCACAGGTGGGGGCTGCCACATGGGGAATCTTGGCTCTTATAAAAGGGTCTTCAAATAGTAATAGCACAGTTATGTATAAGAGTGAAAAGAAACCTAAATTTTCTTTGCTGGTTACTAAAACTTTTAATTAAACCCAATCTGGAATTGCTGATATTATGATGTCAAATTTATACTTTAATATATTAATTTTTCCATGACAATGACAGATGAACACTTTTTCTAAGTTGTGTCCTTTTTTTTTCTTATACAGGCAATGCAAGCCAAGCTTGCAGCACAGAAGCTTGCAGAGAGACTGAATATAAAAATGCTCAGGTTTGAACCAGAGGGAGAGGCCTCAATGCAGTACAGAGAAGTGAGAGATGAAGATTATTTTTCAGCAGAGGACTGAATTCCAGAAGGGATGTCTGAGGATTTGCCATGTAACTGATCTTTGTGCAGTACTTCTTAAAACCCAAACCTGAATATTGAGAATGCTTGATCTAATAATTTTTTTCTTTAAATTTTCACCTTACAGCTACGGGAAGGGTTCGGTGTAAACCTCATAAATATACACATGACTAAGTGGTAACCTAAGTGCTATTTGGGAACTGTTTTTCGAGCACTTGGGGCTGTTAATCCTTTTGGAATGCCCCACAGTTTTCAGCTTTAGCAAAGTGAGCTCTTTAATACCCTTTTGCAGGCCACCTACAGGAGTTTTCTTCTGTGCTCAAATGTGATTGCAAAGGGCACACATGTCCATAAAGTAAGCCAAGGTGCCTGTGAACTGCTCACACATATGAAAGCTCTTGTCTTGTATAAATGTGAGATACTTCTTTTACCTGTTTAATATTATTTTGCTTTTACCTTGTGGGGAAAATACATACCCAGACAGCTACAATAAATCCACCATCCTTAGGCTGTAAGTCAGCTTCTTATCACATAAGAACTTGTTTCTGTGCCTGCACCTTAAAATAACACTTTCTGCCCTTATGTTGTAAATAGCTAAGAATTTTAAGTTATTTTGTAACTCAAATTCTGTTTGGGCTTTAAGGGACTCTGCTGGGTTTTTTTTTTTTTGTTTCTCATGACAAAGCACATCAAGAGATCAAGTTAATCTGAAGACTTTAATATTTTTATTAAAGATTTTGAGGTTTTTCCTTATTTTTGTACCCTGCTTTCATACTTTGGAATACTATTTTTTCATAATGTAAATTAAGAGATCCACCCTCTGGTTTTCTTGGAGAAAATGTTCTGTGTATTTTGAAGTTGTAGCTGTTCTTTGAAGATAAATACCAATCTTCCTTACAATAACATTTTCTGCAATTTAATATGAATTTTTGAAAGATCAGGAACACCCCTGAGAAATATCTTACAATGATATTCCATGTTGACTAGGATATTCCAAGCCCAGTTTGAGTTCTGTTCTAAAAAGCAAAACTCAGAGATTCCTTGTATAATCCATCAACACCTGTTTTCCAAGATGTTGCAGCACCTGTGTTGCAGGGCTGTCCCTGGATGTGTCCATACTGCTGCAGGAATGGTGTCTCTGGAAATCAAAGCTGCAGGTCATTCAAAAAGCTGCATATTATCTAGAAATGGGGGAGGAGGGTCTCTAATGTTCCTTGAGTGCATACAGCACTTTAGTAACAGACAGTAACTCTCTCCCAAACGCTCCACAAGCTCTCCTAGGCAGTCCCTGTGGCACAGTCCATACCCTGGCACTGTGGTTTGACAGGTGGAACTGCTGCTGTGCTAATAGGTGGCATTTTTTATCTAGGTCTTCTGTTGCTCTTTCCTCTACCCCTTTCTCTCACAGCCTTCATGTTGTCATTGTTCATTGGCTTCTCATCAGCTGCTCTTCTCTTTTTCTGATTAGATTTAACCTCCTGTCACTCAGCCAGATTCATACTCTGCACCTCTGCACCACCCATTCCCTTTCATATGACACTGCTGGGTCTGCATTTAACTCCTGCCCTGTGTCATGGATCCTCCTGCCACTGCTACCTTACCTTGCTTTCTGGAACTCCATCCAAATACCAGCTGTGCACCTGGGCATCTTCTGCTCATCTCAGTCCATTGAATATCCCACAGAGACCTGAATGTCTTTGAGTTTTTGCCACAGCTGCTTTCCTATTGAGTCCTTGCTTTCTTATTTCCCATATTGGTTTCAGACTCTGCAGGTGTTTGACCCTTCCAGGCCTTCTGTTCTTTTTATCACCTTTTCCTGTGGTGTTTTTTCTTTTTTTTCTCCTCTCTTTTCTGTGTTCCTTCTTCATCCTCCCAGCTTCTCACCAACACTTGCCTTTAAAGGTCAGCACAATTTTTGGCATGTTGTCAGTCATTCACGTTCATCCCTCAGCATCCATGCTGATGACCCAGCTGATCCCCAGTTGTATCTGTTTCTGTTTAGCCAGAACACAGGCCAGGAGTGCTCCTCTCTTGTGGATGCTGCTCATCTCTCAGGTCACCTGCTTATGCAGCTGCATCTTGTCATCAGCCCTCTCCTCACTGCAGTCTGTACTGCCTAAGGACAACCCTTAGGAGTGTTTTGGCTTTCCCTTTGCTGTTGCATGAAGCACAAGTTGCCACTTCCAGGCCGTTCACATCTCTTCCCCTTCCCAGGATCATCACCCTTGTCCCAGTACTGGCTGTGCTGTCTCCTTTTACGATGCTGTGTTTTCTCCATGCTGGCTTTTCTGTGCTAAAGGAATCCACACCAAACTGCACAGTAGGGATCTGTTTTCTGGAGTATTGAAATCTATCTCAGCATAGGCTTCTGCTGACCATCCCTTTCCTTAACGAAAACTGAGCTTTCCTTGCACTGTTAACACTCACTTTTGCTCTCTAAACTTTGTGAAGCAGAACTCTGTGGGAGAGAGGGCTGTGTGAATACAAAGCCAAGCTTGATATGAATTTTAAGTTATTAAAAGTTTTTTATTACTGCAAAATCTGGAAGCTTTTCTGGGGAGCTGTTGGTTCTGAGCACAGGTAAGCACCTTGAACTAAGATTCTGTGAACGACAAGAATGCTTTCAGGTATAAAGGGAGTCCCATGTTAAGGAAGATGTGCAGTCTGAAAGTTTGTAAAAGGTTAGAGACTAAGAGGATCATGGAATCATGGAATGATTTGTTGGATAATAAAAGTACAAATCGTGGGATGTCTTGGTCATACTGAAATAAGTTTCTGATCAAGTATGGTATGGCTATTGTGTATTTTGCTGTTCTCCAGTTTCAGAACATTTCAAAATGTATATTGAGAGCTGAGGAGATTGTTCCCTGTTTTGAGAGTGGACTGTTATATTCGAATGGGCTGTTAGCACCGTAAAAATAAAGAATTGATAATGTGTTTCTGAAGTTCCTCTTGTGAATAATGTTTTGTTTTGGCCATGTAAAATTTAGAGGAAAATTGGTACTTTTCTTCTTCAATACTTCACAAGGAAAACACTGGAGATGGACTAAGGAAATAAATTGCTTCATAGGGAAAGAAAACTTCTGGAAATGCAATGGGTAAGAAAAGACTCTTGAGACCTGAAGCTGGCCCATCGTACAGGTCTGAGAGATGGCACAGAGACAGAGCTGAAGTGGTGTCCTGTGAGCCAGAGGGCTGTAGCCTGTGAGGCAGTATCTGAGCAGCAGCACCTACAGTCCCTTGATTTCTGAATTGCTGGGGGTACCTGATTTCCAAACTGCATGGAAGAAAAGCACTGTAAGTGAGTTTCAGTTTGCAGTTTCACTTTCCTGAGGGAAATGTGCAATCTGGTTTGCCAGCTGTGGTGGTTATATGATCTAGAGGATTTAACCATCTAAAAATTTATGCTAAATATTTAGGAAATAACATTTGAAAGAAGAAAGGAATGCTGTTGTACATAATTATTTTGGGAGGACTGTAAGAGTAACTAAGGGTAGAAAAGATACAAGCTCTTCCTGGTTTTTAGACTCCTGTTAGAAGCTTCCTGTTGGCTTAGGAACTGCTTGTAAATAGTTTTCCCAAAAAACTCGGTGACAGTAAGCTGCATGGTCCTATGTGGAGGAAGTGGGGCCTGCAAATTGAGGGAATTTGGAAACCATGGCTCTGTGCTGTGGAATTTCTGAACCTGCCAGAGGGACACAGGATCAAGAGTCAGGTAAAAGAATATCCAGACCCTACAGACTGATAAATCAAAATTTTAGTGGGATGCCATGGCAAAAGCTGGTCGTGCTCCATGAGCATCTCAAGGCAGCAGTTAAGGGGTTTCTGCGTGGAACTCGCAGACGATTCTGTTTCCCAGACCACCACCAGCTGGCAGCCTTTAGCAGCCTCGTGCAGGAGGTGGGACTGGAGCAGCCTGAAGTGTAGGTGCGGGTCTGGCTGGCTGGTTGATTTGTGCAGCTCCACTGCAGAGCCAATTCCCTGGGTGCAGGAGGCTGACTGTAATCGCTGTCATGTACTAGGCTGGGTTTTGCCAGTGAAAATGACCTGTCATGGGATCCAGTTCAGAACATTTTGGGCACAGTTTGGGTGGTGTCTGGCTGGTCACCTGCTTTTGGCAAGTTAGTGCCTGCAAGGATGTGCTTGGGCCAGGGGAATTGCAACTGGCCTTTTATAGCAAATGAATGGCATGAAGGGGCCAAGAAAATGGGAGTCCTGTGTTTGAAGAAGCTGTACCACACCTGGTGGACTCCGCTGCAGGGAAACGTGGCTTTTCTCAGCATTGCCAGCTTTGATTCTTTTTCAGAGCAGTGTAAGAAGGAAGAATAACTTCTCCAAAGTATTTTGTAAGGACAGATTTTTTAGGGAGTAGGTCTTGCATGTGAGGTCCTCTTGCAGGGAGGTGCTAAATGACCTGTAATTTCCCTTAGTTTGTGGTTAGCCACTGCTTTTAGGATGGTATGTGTGGAGAATCACCACTGAGATTTCCTGGTTTCCTAATGTTTGGTTTTAGGTTGTGAACTCCCACGTTCTGGGAGGGAAAAGGAAGTAGAAAAGGTAGCTGTGTGAAAACAACTTCTATTTTGTTGTGGTATTTTTGTCTTTCCCCGTCAGCTAATAATTGTGTTTTATTCTCATACTCTGCAGTGCTATGTCACTGCTGCCTCTGTGGCAGGCAGATGTTAGCTGACTGTAGCTGAAACATTTTACAATCACATTGACTTTCCATGGGATATGGATGCTTAACTCCATTTGACTCCTAATACAAACTGTAATTATTATTATGTATGCAAAGATTTAGAGGCATTTAGTCATCTCCTCTTTAAGGCAACTGTTTTGATCATTTGATTATTGAGATTTTACTAAATTGGCCCTTGATTTGGTGAAACATGAAATCTTCCTGTAGTACTGAAGTCAAAGCTGGTTCCTCTAGGAACTTTTATGTGCAAGTGCTCTCTTGAACTGGGATATTACCCCTGTGTTTTGTTTAATCTCTGCATGCAAGGGAATTTGTGAATAAAGAGTTGTGAACAAGTTACTGGATGTGAGGAGGCACAAATGAGCACAGTAAAGTGTGTGTGGGAAGCAAATTGATTTTCAGCCTGCTAGAGTCATTGAACTAAGCATTTCACTTCTGATTACCCAAATATGAGCAAATGTGTCCTGCAGCAGTAAGTGTAAGAGAGATTTCTTGGCAGGAAAATTTGTAATAATTTGTAGTGGCACCCTCATTGCTTTTCTTTCAGGTCTAATATTGGGGACCATAATTGTGTCATGCATGAATTGGAGATCTCCACTGAAGTCATGAGGGAGATAAGTGGAGCCATAATGCTTAATGAACATATTCATATTTCCTCCCTCTCTCCACACAGCTGGTATTAATATGCTTGCTTATTAGATCAAGACAGTGATATAATGTGGCAAGTAGTTGCAGTCCAGGGTTTGCTGAGTCTGAAGCTGAGCACTTGATAGGAGATATTCTTTGTACACTTGTGAATAGAAATGTCAGTTGGTGCTGCAGTGGGCACAAATACTGATAGAACCTGTGATTCTGTAAGAAGCCGTGGGATTTTGTACTGCACACTCAGAATCCCAGCTGAGTCTGGAGGTGCAATGATACCGTTTGTGGAAGATCTTGGTGAGGGAGAATGACTCTCAGCAAGGCTGAATGCTCAGCTATCAGGGCTTTGGCTGGTAGGTGGATACACCTTCCCAACTGACAGTCTAGGGAGAGTAAGTTACATAGTCAGTGAGATTTGCATTTCCAAGTCCTTTAGGCAATTTTCCAGTGAAGTTGCAAAGTGCCCATCTCTTACTGATCAATGAGAACTAAAATTCCTCACCAAGGGATGAACCCAGGGTTAGTACCTGGGTGCTATCATGAAAACAGGGAATGGCATCGGCACTATTTTCTCCAGCCATCTTTTAGCTCTACTTCCACTTATATTGAATTAACATTGATTTTCTTATTTTTTCTTACAAATCCTTAAAATTAATCTTACAGAATTTGCCTTCAAAAAAATGAACCGCCTGATTTTGGGTAACAAATAATATATATAAAAATGATCTGTGTTATCTAGCTATTTGCATTTGGATGTATGAACTCTTCAGAGAATGTGTGATAAGCTCTTTCTGTTTAAGTTACTCTTATGAGTGGTCTGTGTTGTCTCCTGGTTACTATAAAAGTCTTGATGTAATTCTGGTTTCCAGAGTTACAGATCCATCAATTCCATTTGTAATTATGTGTGAAATTACTTTGTCATTGGCTTTCCTCTGGCTTTTCCCTTATGAGGGAAAAACCCCAAGCCACACAGATTCACGAAATCTTCGTTCTATGTGGTAATATTTTCTTTACTGACCCAAGTTATTCCTTATTGGTTAGAAATTCTTATTCCCTGTGTTAAGCTGGCATTGTACTGATTATAGAACTGCTTAAATGATAACTGATGATAAATATTATCCTTGCACAGACAGTGGGCATCATCATGTGTCATGTCTGCTGACCAGTTTTTTTGCTGCACGGCAGATTTTTGTGGCCGTGAGCCAGGAATTTTAATGAAAGAAAACATCAAAGATGCAGAAGAAATGAGAATATTAGTCAAGGAAGATACACAGTGATGCTCTCTGATAACCCCTGGTAATTGACATTAGAACTATGTGGGAGCAACTTAAATAAACATCTGGACACTGAGTTTAGACATTTCCAGTGACAAAACCCAGACAGATCTTCTGGACTTGCAATAATAAATATTTCAGCGCAGTCCACATGAATCAACTTAGAATTCTGTTTTCAATTATTCTAGTTTTATAAATATATCATAGTTAATTATTCAGGGATACAGTTTCTTTTGAAGATTAAGGAATTTGATGTTTGCTTCATTCACATAAAGTTCCATTTTTTATTTGTATCAAACTTACTTCTGTTTGTACAAAAACAATAGTACAAGCTTGCCAGAAGCCATTAAAGCAGAATGCAATCGAACTTTTCCTGGGGCGGAGGGGTCTTTTCTGAAATTCCTGGCAGTGCACTGTGCTTCATTCGAGCTACGGTAACCACTTAAACTGTGCTGAAAAGAAAATTATAAATAATAATTTCAAAAGTTCTTCTCAATATTTTAAAAGGTTCTTTCCCTATCTTTTTACTTTTGGTAATGTGATAGTGTTAAGAATGTGGTATCCCTTACAAACAGTGAAGAGGTGTTTATGTGTGCCAAAGCATTTAAAAGAGGTAGCAATGAAGCTACAAGACTGAATGAAATACTGGTTGCAGTCCAGAGCTGATCCTTGTACTGCAGCTGTGGTGAGGGAATGGCCAGGAAAAGCACACTCAGTTTTTTGTGCAACTTTCTATATTTTTAGAAAAGCCTCTAGTGTGGGATATAATTGCCAACTCACTTATTTCAGGAGGAGTGAATCATGTCACTGAGTTTGAAGAGTTATTTATGCATTCT